AATTATATGGTGGATTCTGAAATTAACTGGTTTATTTAAATTTAGAAATGTGTTAGATTCGGAAAAAGACGTTTTACTTGAATTTAGAAATGTGTTGGATCTGAAAATAACTGGATTCTGAAGTAATTGTTTTATTTGAATTTAGAAATAATGTTTCTTGAATTTAGAAATGTATGTTGGATTTTGAAAATAACTGGTTTATTTGAGTTTAGAAGTGAATGTGTTGATTTCTGAAAATAACTGGTTTATTTGAATTTAGAAATAATATGGATTCTGAAAATAACTGTTTATTTGAATTTAGAATAATATGATTCTGAAAATAACTGGTTTATTTTGAATTTTAGAAATAATATGGATTCTGAAAATAACTGGTTATTTGAATTTAGAAATAATATGGATTCTGAAAATAACTGTTTATTGAGTTTTAGAAGTGATGTGTTGATTCTGAAAACTAACGCGTTTATTTTGAATTGTAGAAATAAATGGATCTGAAAATAATACTGTTTATTGTGAGTTTAAAAAGTTGTATGTGTTGCATTCTGAAAAATTAGACTGATTTATTTGAATTTTAGAAAATAATATGATTCTGAAAATTAACTGGTTTATTTGAGTTAAAGCTGATTTGTTTGGATTTCTTAAGGAATAACTGTTATTTGAATTTAGAACATAATATGGATTCTGAAAATATACCTGGTTTATTTTGAAGTTTTAGAAGTGATGTTGGATTCATAAAGATAAACTGTTTATTTGAATTTAAAATAATATGGATTCATGAAAATAATCTGTTTATTTAGTTAGAAGTTGGATGTGTGGATCTGAAAAATAACTTGGTTTATGAATTTAGATCAAGAATATGGATTCTAGAAAATAACTTTTTTGTAGTAATTAGAACATCATATGCTTGGATTCTGAAAATTTCTGTTTTATTTTAATTTAAAAATAATATTGATCTAAAATAAATCTGTTTAATTTTGAATTTAGAAATAATATGTTGAGTTCTTTAATTTAATTTAAAGTGATGTCTAATAAAAGAGAAAGCGTGTTTACATGAATTTAGATATATTCTTGTTGGATTTTTGAAAATAACCGTGTTATGTTGAATTTAGATGAATGATATTTAGATTCAGAAAAGATCCTGTACTTGAATTTAAAGAAATGATTGTATGTTAATTCAAAAAACATTTTGACGCTAAATAGAGTTAAACTTTATTACTTTGAGTTCAGAAAGAAATTAAATCCACTGAGTAGATGCCAGAATAATATTTTACCGGTGTGGACTACTAAAAATAACGTATTCAAATCCAACTAGATTAAACAATAACGTGTTAAATCCAAACAGATTC